AAAGCATTTCTATTTCATTCGTGTAATTAATCGTGTTGTGATAGTCATTTAATTACAGACACGAATTACAAATCATGAATTACAAATTGCAACTGTTTTGCAATTATTCATTATATATACGGTTAATATTCAATTAAAAACACAAATTAATGATTAATTCTGTGGCAGTATGTATTTTATTCATCCGTCGAAATACAACAACGCGCCGCGGCGCGGCGTATTGATCTAATTAATCATTAACTTGATCAACCTCCTTGTTAGCGTTTTACTTGTCGAACGTTCACTATTCACCGAGTCAGATTGAGGGTCACCGGACAATTATTTACACATACATATATATATATATACATATATATATATATATATATATAAAAAGAATGCACTATCATTAAGCTCGTCATTCGACGTCTCAGAGTCTTCCACGGGAGCGAGATAACACCGACGACACGGAGACCGAGTCACCGGATGTTAAGAGCAATGATAAGTCACGCAAAGCCGAGTCGCACGCTCGTGGAAAAGCGCGTCACTCCGAAACTCACGCGAGCGAGGAAAGAATCACGTCGAGATCTCTCGAGGGAAGGAGAAGGAAACGCAGTAAACGCAGTACCGAAAGACGAAAGTTCGGAGCGCGGCCTCGCACGGCGGATCACGATCACGATCACGATCACGATCGAGCGGATACCGGATCTTCCGTGAAACGCTGCAGCGATAGGGAAGACAGCTGCGCTGATAAATCACGAAAGAGAAGAAGGAATGTTTCCCGAGGTAAAGAAAGAAATAAATCCTTCGCGCGACATATTTCGTCGAGAAGAATTCCAGCGAATTTAAATTTTTTAAAACAAACTCGATCGAGAACATTCGATCGAGGAGAGATAAATGTTTTAGTCGCGTTTTAAGAAAGTTACAATCGCGTTAGGGAAATTATCTCGATTGGTCCGCGAGGTGAGGGAATGAAATGTAACTTAAATGTAAATTAATAATTTTCCATGCAAGCGGAGGATGTGCCCATCACCGAGATCTTGAAGAAAGCTCAAGAAAATGCGCGCACGAAATACGAGGAGCCTGTGCCGCTTCCGGAATTGACTGCGGACACAATTTACATTCAAGGCAGGAGCGGCTTTAGCGCCGTGAAAATTGGCGGATCGAGACGTGCTTTGGGAAATGATACGACACGTGCAACAAAAGGTATAGGAGGCCGCGATTCCGTAGAGACTCAAACGTACACGCTCATAGAGGTGGCAATCACGGCCCAGAAATTTTGGAAGTGCACAGGACTCGTTTATCAGGGTCTCTTGGGCGGGATGGCACTTTTCCATTCCATAATGGTAAACATTTTTTTTCGCGATTTTCGCAAACAAGTATTTCTCGATTTAAGTCCTCCTGAGTGGTCACCGCGGCTATATCGAAATCGTGATATCATAGGTGAGAAATGACATAAAGTTTATTGCACTAATTTTGCAAATAAAAAAATATTTAACTAAAATAATAAACCTGATGGTTTTAAGACACTTGTGAAAATGGACGGCTGCTATCCTTTCTCTTCCCGATCAAGTCAATAAATAGCTGTAAAAGGCACATGAAATGTAGCCTGTTCAGGCAGAAAACACATGATTTGATAGCTGTTGAAAGAGGAAAAGAAAAAAAAATGCTTTTACATGTACAATGTCCAAAGATAATTTTGGAGCTGCCGCCCATTTTTACGATTAGTAAGTACGGAACAAGTCACGTCTAAGAATAATAATAACGAAAATAGCTGCAATAAAAACTTTCGTTGTCCGCACATCACTTGTATAAAGATGAACAAGGACAAGGATAAGATAAATAAGAATGAATGAGCTTCTATTTTTCGCCGTCGACACGGAGTTCTTAGTTGAGTACTCAGGAGCCTTAACGCAAATTTTGTGATAATTTTAAAACTTTTAATTATAGAATAATTATAAAAAATGTTTAATTTTAAATATTTGATTTGTGATTGCAGATCCATGTCTTCTTTAACACTTCGATGGAATTTATGTTGAATTACTCGATTTTTTCTGAGATATATACAAACGTATTCTCCTTTTTAATCGCTCTCTGCGTCATCTCCATCTTCGATAAGTACGTTTTATTTAAAAAAAGAAGATCGTCATGACATTTAACATATTCGTGTTTAGATATCATAAACTTCAGGGAATATTGGTGATTTCAGATTCGACCTGGCGCGACTTGATATGGATCACTTGCGCGAGATTTGTACGGGTCACGCGAAGACCTCGATCGCCATTTCGCTTTATCTGGCAACGTTTGGACTCCATCAAGCATCGTTAAAGGTGGAAGATCAATTAGCTTTACTGCATTATCACGATATCAACGAAACCTTGCGGTCGAACGTAAGAATATCATAACTTAATAAAACAACACTTTCAGCAAGCAGCAAGCAGCAAGACAGTCACGATAAGATGTTTTTATTTGTGCTTACACGTAAAAACAATCCTTTCAGAATACGATGCAGGAAACTTTTATAGAGGAGCTAAACAGCTGGCAGAAGATAACGATATCGAAAGACCTCCTCGCAGTTTTCGCCTGGTTGTTCGTTGCTCTTGGAACGCGGGACAATATGCTATTGACGCACCTCGAATCGATGGTGCAATATGCGAGCAACGTGGAATCTCCGAGATGACATTCGAAGAACGAGTTTCAGCGTCGAACAAAACAAACACATACGAAACTCCTTCGTGTGTTCACTACATGTGTCAGACTAAATACTACCAAATTGCAAATATTTTAGAGCGTAATTATTCACTTTTTTATTGGCTACTTACCTGCCGATTCATTCCGGACATGGTCCGGTTGATACTTTCGGGGACCAATGGTTTCGAGAGGGGGAGGGGGGGGAAATACGATTTAAACATTTATTCGTAACAGAATAGCGTTTGATATGTACAATATGTATAAAGTTTGCCTAGCCGCTACTCGATATAATATATGTATACATAATAGCAAAGAGAGGACAATAATGTTAAGATTAAAATAACATATGACGCAACGGTACAGTAGTAAAATATGTTTGGACTTTTTCGTGCGCGAGAACGTCGTTGGAATCCGCAATTGCGAAGCTGTAATCGATCGATCGTCAACCGTGTGAAATAAATTTTATATATCAAAACTTGTAACTGCGCGCGAGACACAAGAGAGAGAGAGATGCGAAGAGAAAGACAATCGTCAGATCGGTGAAAATTTCTGTCAGTTCGCAATTGCCAATTTGAGCGACGCGCTCCCGATTTTTGACGCGGAGAAAGCGTTCGTTATTATAAATAATGTGCAAAGGCTTGTACTCATTTGCGAAGCAACGGATATATACATGCTGCTTGTGTGTTTGTGAAATTTGTTACACGCTAAAGTCTCTCCTTGTCTCTCTTTTCCGCTGGTTCCTCTTTAACAATTTACACCGTCACGATGTCTTTTCTTCTTTTTCTTTCTTTTTTTTTTTTTTAATGCGTACTCTAAAATAACTCTGAGCTTAACAATATCATCAAGGCACTGTTTACAGTTCTATCCGATGTTCGAGTCGATTTTCGCCTTGTCTTCGCTGCCGGATGCAGATCGATCCGTCATCGTGTTTCTTCGGCGTGTTTCTTTTCTGATAATTTATCCATTGACGCGGTGCGCGAGCCAAGAAGAAAAAAAAAAGAGAGATGCAACTAAACCCGATGACGCGCGATCCGATCGCAGGGAAATTGACATTATTCGACTAATCAGATCTTTTTTTTATCGCACGGAAAAAGTCGGACGGTGCGGCTTTTCCTTCAACGCGAAAAAATTTTTTTTTCTCCGTCATGGCTGTAGCTACGACACTATCGGTACTTAGATTGAATAATTTGTGCAAATTTGCAATGGCAGTATCGAGTGGGGTCAGCGCTTTCGCGCGTGCGAAATTTCGCCGAGTTTGTAAAATATTACGCTCGGCGGAGGAGATTGGAGTTTGTGTGTAATTAACGTCAACGGGCTGACGATGCGTTATAAAAAAGGATCCAGGCTCGTTCGGGGGAAAATACCACAGAAAATATTCAAACACCATTAATAGCGAGAACTACAGTTTCGGCTAGTCGTGCAGCCGCGCAGCGTCCGTCGAGTTCGGGATCAGCTGCGCTGATCGGGAAAGATACCCTTAGATACATACTCGAGATAATTTATAATGGTCCTGCGTACCGCAAATGCGTCCACGCTCGCTTATCAAAACTCGTTTTCACGTCTTTGTAATTTCTTGCATGGAAAACGCCGTTCGAGAAGGCACCAAGCCGGATTTAAAACCCGTCGGCATCGCCGCAAGCTCGTAGAAATTTCGAAACTAAACGACAAAGACGGTATCATTGCGAGATAAATCATTACGGGAACACACAGAGACGAAGAACAAAACCGATCGATTTCAGAAGCAATATCTCCGTGATACGTTTCAGATTTCTCCTTCTTTTTTCTTTTTGCATTTCATAATGGCACCATCTTTGAGAGGACTTGATATTGAATATCGTCGGCAATGCGCACGAGTTTTAAACCAAACTCCGTTGCACAAATATTCGATGATCACTTTTTGCTTCCTTTGGATCACGATCCAAAAGGATGAATATATATAATTTTTATTTTACAATTTATGCGTTTTTACCTTTGAACCTTCACTTCCCTCTTCGATTGTCTGTAATCGCGTAATTTGCGCAATACTCGCGGGAAGCGAGGAAACGATCGGCGCCGCTTTTTTTATCGCTACCTCCGTTTTCACTTGTTGGTACCTTTCCGAACGTGTTGGGGGGGGAGGAGTGGCAAACGAGGGACCACGGCCGAGGATGGTTCCCTTTCATCCAAACGATCCCGCGGCTGTAATCGCGCGTCCTCCCGCCCCTACTCCGACGATCAAACGGTCTCTGGATTATTCTGCATGTATCTGCACCACGACTGGCCGTTGTTGTTGCCCTCGGGGCATTGAAGTAATTCTCAGTCGTCAAAGTCGTGCCTGAGCTTTATATAAAGGCAGGAGCCGAGAACGATGCCGAAGAGCTCGAGAACGGACAGGCCGAGCCCGACGGCGCCCAAGATTATCAAGTGGTCTTTCGTCGTCTCCAGGAACTTGTAAATGCAGCCCTGAAATGACAGAGATTTATCGATGTATGGAAACTGCGCTATTTTATTAAAGGGTAGTTCCTTATTTGTCGAAAAATGAAGTACAACTCGTAAATTGTAAATACAACTTGTGAAGAAGTTAGTCCTCAATTTTTAGAATTAATTATTTCGAATGAATTCGTTTGAATTAATTATTATTTATTTGGGGGGGGGGTTCAATTATTATTTATTTGGAGATATGTCTCTTATACATGTATAATAAGCTACTTAATGTCCTTCCGTTTGTTTATTATTTCCTTGGTTTTTCTCCTTACTTTTTTAAAAAAATATTTATTAAATCTATATCCATAATGTCCTTAGATATTAATAAATTATACAACAATCAATAATTTACAATATATAGTGAATAACAATGACTTTTAACTGAGATGTAAAAAACATCCCAGGTGATTGTTTATGCAAAAAAAAAAAATGAGGTGACTATTCTCGCGTATTCTCGCGTCAAGGAACGTAATTGCGACTTTATTTCTAAGGAAATAGTCGAGTAGAATTCAATTCCTGTTAATATCTTTATTAATGTCTGATGATCATTCGAAGAAAGCGGGAGATGAAGCCATGGCAAACATACCGTGTACTGAATATTGGAGGGATGATCCCTTTTCCCGCAAAGTAACGTCGGCGTCTTGCAGCAGCTGTCAGGTACGACGCTACCGTTCTTGAGGACCTCCTCGTCCTTATGCCACTCGCTCACGAGCCAGTCCTCGAATCTCAAGGCACCGCAGCATTTGAACTGCAAATTTCAATAATAATGTCTCCGCGATAATATTAGGAAGGCTCGAGAAGGCAGAAGAGTAGTTTCCGTGCCACACTTCCGTTATGTAAATATACTTTTCTCGAAGACCACTTTCTTGAAGAAATTTTTAATTACACCGCGAGAAAGGAGAAACGAGTTGACTCGATAATTAAAAATTCCGTTATGACTTTGAAATTAAATTAAATTAAATTAAAAAAAGTTCAAATCCTCCGAACCTTGTCGAACTACGTTTGAAAAAAAAAAAAAAAAAAAAAAAAAAATTAAAATTTACAGCTCTTTGAAAATTCATGGGGGAAAAAAATACGTAAAAATGCATTTTTTATCACGGAATATAAATGACATCTCTCACCGATTTGTCGGTGACAAATAATTTTTTATGGAGAATCATGCTCCGACGGGGGGAAAGTGACAAGCTTTTAAGCTGCATTAGAGATTGTTGCTAACGACAAGCTCATCTTTCTTATTTTCCAGTTCTGTTTTACGACGGGCGCAATAAAGTATGATGGGAACACACGATGATAGCGGCGATAGCAACGATAATAACCGCGTACGATAGTAACGATAGTGGAACGCCGGGGCATCGCGGAGTCATTGTGAAGAGGGCTGGGAGGAGGAGGGAAGGAGGAGGGTGGGGGGGGGCTCGGAGAGAGGGGGTTAGCGGAGGGAACCGCGAGGAAGGATGGAGAGGGGCAGATTAATGGAGGTGAGAAACGTGTTCCGGCGGCGGCAGCAAGTTAAATGGTAACTTTAATGCGGGCACGTAATCCTTGCGGGATTCATCGCGCGCCGGAACCATTAGTCGCGATAAACACTTCTAGGGATCCTTTACACGTGCCGGCGTTACGGTCAACGAATTTCACCTTCCTTCCCGAACACACATAATTCGGCGCCCCGTCGTCTCAGAGGCATCGAACGGGCTTTAGAAGTCAGACAGAGTGGCCTGAGAACCCATTGTCATCGACTCATCGACAAACACGTCTCGCACATTCGCGCGAAAATCCTCCTGCGAATAACGACTCTCGCGTGATCGATATAAATGAATTTCCTCCCTTTTAAGATTTTCATTTATCGAGAGTAAATTTAGAACACTAGAGAATAAATTGGAAAGAAATATTTGATGTATTCGTACGGGGCAGCGCTCGCTGTGCAAGCGACTACGAATGCGAATCAATTATTTATCCTCCTTTAAATGGATGCCTTGGATGTTTCCTTCGAGGAACAGCGCGCGGAAAGAAGAGGCTACGTTTAAAGAATCCTCCCGAGAAAGGGCACGAAATGCATTTGCCGCACGTGTAGACGTGTACAAACGTTTGCGCGCATACGTCAGGTGTGACCCTGTGAAAGTTATTGCGATAAAAACCGCGTAAAAGACATGCAAAATTTGCGCGAGCAAGAGACTACGCCGGATTTTCTCGTTCAACAATGTGATTCGTGTTGTGAAAAATCGTCGAAAAAAAGTTTATTATTTCACTTTCTTCTTGCCCTCAATAAAATTCAAATTAGGAGGAAAGGCACAAAGAGATAAATAAATTTTCGATAAAAGCTGCACACGCGAGAGATATATCAAAATATATTTTCGTGCGCGTTCACATCCAGCGCGGATGTATAAGCGAGACATTTATTTCCGTTCGCGGAGTCGCCTTAAAAATTCCCGACGAGCGCTGTCGCGGTAAAACTCGATTTCCCGAACGGAATGAAATGCTTGTACACGTAGATCCCCTGTGTATAAATAAAATGCGGATCCTGAATTTCCCGCTTGCCCGACGGTTTCGCCAATTTCGACGGGACGAGGGAGCCAAGGAGGGGGAGCTTAACGCGCTCGTGCACCTACCCCCGTCGGGGCGAAGAAATGGAAACGAAAATCCTCGGTCGGCCAAGGGGTCGGGATCCGACAGAAGGGTGAAATTGCGTGGCTCGATTTATCAGGGCAACGGCGTGGCGTGGTGTGACTTAGCTCTCCCGTGCCATTATCAGTGTCGTAAATCGCATGTCACGTGTGTGTGCGCGCTTACAGGTCCGAATCGGAATCAAGATGCTGCGCTCGGCATAAAGTGGATCTAAACAGCGCGCACGTGATTAATTTCCCGCGCGAGACGTCCCCTTGAAATATGGACAATATGTGCATCCCGCAAGCTGGCGCTTATAATCCCGGCCGCATCACCGCCACCACTGCCGTCGACTTAATCCTGTATAAATATAACGAGCAGCTTTAATCTCACCATTACGAACACAACTTCGATTCGGGAAACGTAAATCTTCGTTCGGGTAGATCTTTGCGGGGGACGCGTGAGTGCGTCCGGGGAAAGAGAAATGTCGCGCGCGGGCCGACGACATCTCTCGCGAAATCGTATGAGACGAAGGCTACGAGGTTTTTCACCGTGGCACTAATCGATTTATAGCGAATGGGCGGAAACTGTTCCGCGATGCGATAACGATGATTTACTATTGTAAGGGTCCTCGTAAGAGAGTGCCATCGTCGGCGGAGGACATAAATAAAAGTGCCTGCCACGTGATATCGCGGACACAAAAGCCGCCACCGAGCGCCATTTCGACTGCATTCGTAAATTAACGTCGTGCAACTCCGAGATGACGCGGGTGTGGCTTACTTCCAATCAAGAAGGCGGCGTATACCGCCGATAGAACACTGGTGCCGTCGCCGTAAAAAGAAAAGAAAAAAAAAAAGAAAAAAAAGAACGAACGTTCAATTTAAATTGAATTAAACAGATCGAATCGGATTGCATTTTCGCCAAGGGCGAAAATCGTCCGGAGTTGGCCGCGTTATCCATAATTAGAAAGACGCAGCCTCTGGAAACGTTCTCTATTTGCGGACGACGATCGTGTTACGTATTGACAAGCCATACGAAACATTTTCAGCAAACACTCGACACGCCGGTATCATATTGCGTATTTCTGGTAGCGCCGCAACGATGGCGAAGCACCATCGAAGCCACGCGAAAACGCTTTACTTGAAGTCCGCAGCGGTGCACAGAGATGCAACGGGAATAAAAATGACAACGATGGAGGAAATTGATACCGAGAGAGAGAGACAGAACGCGAGCGCGCGGTATTCGCGATATCGGAATACCGGTCGGCGCGTCCTATTTTGTTCGCGATTGTTCGACGGCGGGCTCTCGAAGCGCAAACGGGCGTGTATATATCCCGGGCTGTTTTGAGAAATAGGTAAGAAATTCCTCCCGAAGGTCGGGAGAGCTCGGTATACTTACTTCTTTCTGCATCTGGTCGATGGCCGCGGTTTCCCGGGATCGCACGGAATAGTTCTCGAGGAAGGTGCGGTTCAAATTCATCTTCAATTCGGGGCCGACCTGCTCCTCGTAGAGACGCGCCAGCGCACCGACTCCGGCCTCCAGGACGAGCACCGCCATCACCACGAAGACGTACTGTCGGCAGAAGAAAGAACGGGGGGGGGAGGAGGGGCGATTAGGATTCGGTCAAAACAACATCGAGACAGTCTTGTCGCAATTACGCGATTGCCTTCCTCAGCGTTTAACGCTTCTATCCTAACTAATGAAAGAAATGGCGATGAAAGGGCAATGAAGGCTTCTCCGTCTAACTGAATGGAAATTCCGATAAAAGCTGTCGAATAAATTCTATCGACGAGAGAGGGAGGAAGAGAGAAAGAGGAAGAGAGAGAACGAATAAAAAAAACGACTTAAAAAAAAAAGAGAAAAAAGTCGGTTTATCTCGAAATAAATTCGCTTCGTGTTCAAAGATAATTCGTACGGAATGACGTAGTACGAAGGAACGATTTCTAACGTGCGCACTTCTTACAAACGCGATAAAGCTCGAGATTGAATCTGTCGGATTTGCCGTCATATTTTCGCAAGAGAAGTTTTCACCCGCTATATAACGGTATTTATTTTTCGCTGTTGTTCCCTCCCTTTTTCACGCTACCGAAATCATCGATTCACAATATCTCTCTGATACACGCATCCCCTGTGCCGGAGAAACCGTTTCGCGTGAAAATGGCATATTCTGTGGCAAATTCTTTTTACAAAATATGAGAGAGAGAAGGAGCGAGCGCGCGTTCCAAAACGAACGATGTTTAATATTGTGCTCTCGCATAATTTGTAATACGGATTTGCGGAGCAAAGCCACTAGGATGTAGGAAATTCACCTCGGAGTCATCGTCCTCCCTCTCTCTCTCTCTCTCCTCCT